TGACCTCTAGAGACAAATTCTTAAAACAAATTTTCATAATTACATCTAAATTTACACATAAAAACTATATTCAAACTATAAATATTTTTTTACAAAATATATGCATCCTAAATAAACAACAGAATTAAACCAGAGTTTCAGTTGTCCGTAGATAAAAGTTTACTTTGTGGTTTATTTTTATGTCTAATGTATTTTTATGTAACAAATAAATACTTATGCTATTTTTGGTATGTCAATTTTAATCTGACAATTGTATTATTAAACCATTTCTAATTGTTTCCATATCTGCAAGAAATCTCACATCTATATAATTTATCCATAAATCTACATTACATCACACAGCCTAAATTAATTTGATGAAATAATTTGAAAACATTATGGTTAGTTAAGTACCAGTATAATTTATAAAGGCATTAATAATACAGTATGAAGCATACCGTCTCATTCCCCTAATAAACTTTGACCTCCCAGTACCATCTATCGTACAGTAATATAATTATCTTGTTGTACCAGATACTAAAATGTAATACTTTTACCAATACAATGATACATATGTACTGCACAATTACAATACTTTGAGAAATAAGAGTGTGCTTTGCTAATAAAAAATACCCACCTTGGCCTTGTGGCTTATTTTATAAAGTAACCGAATGTTAGTCAGAAGGTCTTAGGTTCGAATCCAGATTGAAACAATATGTTTCTTTATACTTCACTGATGGAGGTATTTGTCCATCTTAATTGAATATCATGTGATGTAGCGTATTACAACATTGTGCAATTCAAAAATGGCATTGATAATAAATTTAGAAGTAAGCAAACGCAAGTTAATTTGAACACAAAGTTTGGTATTTGGTGCAAGATGGCTTCAAACAAAAGGCTTCTTTGTTAACACTACGTGGATATGATACATGAAAACTTTTATATCATGTTCTGAGTTAGGCAAATAAACTATTAAATTAAATCACTCTAATACATACTTAACTACGGGAAAATTATGAAAATTACTTGCAAAACTTGGGGATATATTCCATTTTGGTAACAAAACTATCATAGTTTTCTGGTGGAGGGTCATATAATGTATTAAACTTATTGTGTATTGCAGTATCCTAAGGCATAATGGGACAGCTTACCAAAACCAAATGATCTAAATATTTCTTGAAATCCAACAGAATTCGCTTATTATGGGCGTGGCATATTCCTATTTATCTTCACAAAATGTTGTCCCCTGAATATTTTATTTTTATAAGACGACAAAATAGCATAATATGGGAAAGTTTTTGTACAAAAGGTAGCGGTTGGTATTATAGGATATAATAGTCTTTTTTTTAAATTTAGCATGATAACCTATTTTATAATAGGTATTTCAATCTTATTGGACTGGCTACACATACTTCGTCAATATTAAAGTTCTATCCCGGCAACCTGCATGATACTGTAGGTTAAATTATCTTATGATGATGACACATGAGAGATACTGACTTCAGACATTGACAGATAGGTCCTGAGATTTCCATATCATAAAGCTGTATTTCTTCTTTCATATCTATACGCCAAACTACATAAGAAGGCTAATTATCGTACATGCTAATGGATACAGGCTCTCATGAAGATGTTTTCATACAAACTTCACACCTCTCAAGGAGGCTAGATGAATCTGGCAAGTGCTAAAAAAAGATTGTGATCACTCTGCTGAGTGATTTGGATTTTCCTGCTGACATCTATTAAATTTTAGACTTGTCTTTTTTATGTTTTCTTAAAACCCCTAAGGACTTAAATTTATGGATAAGCTAACCATTTGATATCACAGACAGTCCGTAAGGCATGACATGTGCTCAAATGTGTTTCAATGTAGTTTATCTCAAATGTAAAGGACGACTCAATTGGGGTTTTTTTTTCAATGAATTGTTTCCATATTGCTTTTTTTTTCTTTTTTACAGGCTATCAGAACACTAACCATGGATTACTGATCCAACATCCATTTTCAGATTTCTAATAACACATACAGTCATATTTAAATTATTTAGTCAAATTTACAGATTATAAATCACCAAAGATCGTGGCAAACGTTTTCTTGAGATTGGTGAGAGTGTCCTCCTCATCATGAAGGTCCAGTGTCGGCAGGGGTGGTGGGTTTGATTGGGTTTTTGTTGGTGTACCAGACAGAGTAGGTTTCTGATTGGATGTCGGTGTCCCAACCTTTGACGTGTTAGGACTATTGCTCTGTGAAGTTCGTTGCAGATTTGGCAAACTTGATGCACTGGTTAAAACTGGTGCTGAACTGTTGGTTTGGAAGCAAAAATAGAATTTTCACTACTTGCTCATACAAAAATTAAGAACAGATGGATATTATAAAAAAAAAAAGTAGTATAGCGTAATGAAAATCATGTTCTGATGTCATTTAGGAATTCACAATGATAAATATAAACCACTTGCAAATAAACTAAACCAGCTTTAAAGAAGCGATTGACTCTCACTGACACATTCTGAACATCGTTATCTGAAAATGTATTTTTTATAAACATTGTGGTAGCACTTTAGCCTTAAGTGAAATTCAAACAACTATTGTATAATATTATATGATTAGCTGACTTAAATGTGTTCTTACAAAACTAATCACTATATCTTGTATGAATCATCATGCATTGGCTTAATGTGTTAGGAAAACAAACCACCAACCAACCAAGAAAGGCAACTGCTATATGATTGGCCAAAACTGATCATGTGTTTCCAGCCACATCCTCTATTAGATGACAGTGGCGTGAGTAGATACAATACTATTAAATTTAATTGGACACATTCTGACGTTTCAACAAATACTGCACCCTCATTGGTGGTATGGGAGCATGTGATGTTAAATATCAAATTGATTGATTGACGAATGTTTATTCAATTCAACTAATTCCTGATTAATTTTTGACAGGTAACTTTCATATTATTGTCATTGTTATTGTTGTTGTTTATTATTTATTATTATTATAATACAAAGTATTTACATATAAAAATCTATTAACCATAATAAAATAATTGCTATAAAAGAAATACTGCCAACTTAAAATTGCTTACTTTTTATATTTCAACTAAAATTTGAGACAATTTCCTCACCAAATAAGAGGGACAAAAATGTATACATTCTTGTTTTATAGTAAGGGATAAATGACTTTAGATATTTATATATTTGATCTAATTTTGAAGCATATGACAGCTGCACAATGAAGTTGCATTTGCAACAAAGGACTGTATTTCCCTAGTTGGATTTTGACTGATTGATTTAGACAGGAAATATACAACTGACTTTGACATGAAATATTTTTTTATGACTTACTGCGTAACATTGGCATTCATCTTTTGCAAGACCAAGTCAGCTATGTGCTTTCTGTCTTCCTCTTGGTTCTCACCAATAAGTTGCATTGATGAATCGTTGACCTTTGAAACCACAGCAAGGAAAAGGGGAAGACAACATCATAATCAAGTCAGTCCATGGTAATACAAATTAGCTAGCAAGAAATGAACATCCTGCGTTATACGTGCTATTAAGTAGTATTCATTAAGAAAACTGGGATAAGGCTACCCTGGGTGATATCCAGGGTTGATACTTTGCTTGTAGTTTGACAAACAAGTTTTGGGCGTAAACTCCGCAGAAAGATTTTACTGTACTGCAAATGTATGAAAATCGTGCAGCTCACATTAAATTCCTTATTACAATTATTATTATAAAATTATTATTATATTATAATTATTATTAAATAATTATAATAATTATTATCTAATACTATTTAATGATTATTATATTATTATTTTTGAACTAAATCTGAGTTATTAATATTTTTCTGTCACTGTCCTTGTCTTTCACTATCATTATCGAATGTCTATTAAGTGTAAGAATTTTTTTTTAAATTATTTACTATTATCCCAGAACAAATTTACATGTATAATTTAGGTGATATGAAATTATTTGAGCATTTAAAATTGATTTTTATTCCTTTTTAAAGCAGGTTATAATGATTATATCTCTACCCCTAATGTGCACAAATTACAAACTTAAATGTGGTAGCAGTATGAAATTTAACTCTCTTGATGGGAGGTACTTAATAATAAATTTGAACCAAAATTGTACCTACCTCTATTATGTAGTTCTTGCCATCTTTCCCGTGAATAGCCTCAACGGAAACAATATCTAATCCACCAAAAAGTTCGCTAGTTTCATCCACCCATAGCTTGAACCTGTAGACAATTATTTAAATAAAGTAAGTCTTTATTATAATAGTAAATTAATAGCCCATTACATTGATAGTAATACTAATACATTTGAAATGTACTTAATCAATTGTATAGTAAGAAACTCAAAACAAAATTTCTGTTTGATGGAAACAGTTGCCACCTATATTACAGTAGTTCAATAGAATTCGATATAACAAATATTTTTAAAAAAAGAGAGAATAAATGTACCCTGCTTCATTTTGGTGGTTAAGTCATTCCATTTTTCCACACTTAATACCTTCCATTAATCTGCTAAAATTTGTAATGCCTAATGTGATATCATTATTTTTCGCTGTAATCTTTTATTTCAATTTTATTGTATTTTTAATGTTTTTATCTTTTTTAACTATTGACAGATTTCACTGATGATTTTGTACATATATATTTTTAAATATAAATTTTATTGTTAGGCCTATTTTACTTGAATATTTTATGCTAATCTAATTTATGTTCTTATTGTCATCGGAGAGCCACTAGACAGTGATTCATTTCACTTTTTGGCAATCCTGTCCGGCCAACTGAGTGTTATTTTTTGCTCTCTATTATCTTATGTTTGTCAATTTTAATGTTTTTTGGACAAAATAAATTAAATGAAATAAAAAAAAATCATCCAAACGTATTTATAGGATAAAAATTACATGTCAGAACATCGAAAAGGAAAGTTAAAGAAATTACTATCATCTCTTTTTCAGAATGATTTTTGACCACATGTCACAAAAATAAGGATTTGACAGACAGTTTTCATGTTTTGACAGCAATCTGCGTTCCCATGTCGACACCCTGCTGATGTATGGGAGGCCTAGTGGAATACTCCCTAAGGTACCTGCAGTGGACTCTGTTTTGACTTACTGTTCAGTCATTGCAATCTGCTCCACAGCTGATGATCCCGTGTTTGCCTTCCAGTTTCCAGATATGGATGTTCTCCTAGAATATTGAAAAAATAAAATCACCATCACATTATTTTTAATCACTTTTAAGATTTTTTTCCATTGGGGAATAAAACATATAATAAAATGAATATTCCTTTTTTAGAAAAACGTATTGTCTCATGACTCAAGACCATCTGATAGTGATCTGTCTCTTATACACATCTAGATGTGTATAACACATACATACATACATACGTACCTACACACACACACACACACCCACATACATACATATATGTATATATATAAACAAACAATAACAAACATAGAAAATAACTGTAACAATTGCTGTATTTCATCACAGAATGGATTACCAAGCAATGTCTTCTATAGGCTTATTATTGCCAACATAGAGAAAACAGATAAAGCAATGTATAATGAGAGAACACAAAACAAGGCACACTAAAACGGGCAGTTACTTCTTCATAGCATGAAACCCTTCTGATAAACCAAATTAATAATAATAATAATAATAATAATAATAACATATTTATATAGCGCCTATCAGATCACAGATCCCTCTAGGCGCTTTACAGTTCTTAATTTAATTTAATTTATGGTAAAAAACTATCCTCAGAGTCAAGGTTTCGGGGCCAGGAATTTCAAGATTGACCTTAACTATGTTCACTTAACTACAATATCCCTTCTCCTTGCATCAACTACTGTATCATTGAAATGATGATGTAATTCACCATTTCCATATAATATTAGAGCGATATGGGCACCAATTCTGTATGTTTAAAAAGCTAACAACATTTGCTCAAATTGTGTAGGTGGGGCATCACTTCTTAGTGAGAGGACGCTAGGTCCGAAAATAACATAATATGAGGTGATTTTTTTTTTTTTTTAGGACATTTTAACGGGGGAGGTGACTGGGCGAGTGAGCTTTTTTTTTGGCGGAAGGGGGTGTCGCACCCCTGGACACGCGAATATTTCATAAATATATTCAGTCCCAACTAAAAGCTATCTCTGCTATCTCAACATATTGTTGGTTATTTTGACATCATACTTGCTTGCTATCATTGTATTAGTTTCATTACCAAGGCTCTTGTAACAATTGCACCAATTCTGAAGTTCAACATATAAATAAAATAAGTCTGTTTGGATCATATTCAATTATGGGGGGAAACTTTAGAATGTTCAACATCTGGGTTCAACATGGATACCAATGTGGTAATAGATAGCTAGAAAAAAATAATTAATGAAAACTGCTGAGCAAATAAAAGAACTAATTTACATGAGGGATAACTTTTCAGATACTTTGAACATATCTCAGTGCAATACATCTTGAATACCTGTTTACAGTACCTGTTAGTTTAATTTGTTGCAAATTTATATTTATATTTCTTGTATTTTGGTGTATTGTGTTTCGCTGACTTTCCTTTGGTGTTTGTGCTTGTTTTTTTAAATATTTCATATTCTTTGCATTGAATTGTCAATTTTAGGTTTTTGTACTTCTGTTTTTTGAATATTTTATATACTGTGCACTGAATTATGAATAAAGAAAACTAAACTAGGGCACTTTGGCCCTATGTGCCTTAAATAGAAAAAAAGAAAAACAGTAAATCTAGATTTGCTAGAGTAATATTAATAAATTCATGTTTAAATATTAAATAATGTTGCCAAAATTGCTAACAATTCTATTTAATTACAAATCAAAGATTTATCTATTATCAACAAAGAAATATATATTTCGAAGTCAGTGTTAGTCCAACTATATTTTCTAAGCTTAATCTAATAAACTTACTTTAATTACATTTCATTTTTTTTATTGATGCTATTGATTCCAAACCAAAATTGATTACTTGACTCCCTAAATTAAAGCATTTTCCACAGTGCTAATCTATTGTACGCTATAGACAGCCATTTAATAAGAAATATTAATGTTCGCTTTAACCATAAATGGCGATAGTCTATGCAAGAAAATTCAAAGTGACAACTATTATTTTTTGCCGATCTGAATAGGCTGTGCCTGTCTACAACGTTAATTAGGATCATCATTGCTGAAACCTCAAATCGACTTGAAAAAGGAAATTCTCTAACAACGCATGTCCATCAAAAACACACTTTTTAAAGGTCTGGTTGATTTTTTTTTTTAAAGAAACACTGTCAGATGATTCAGCAAATCGAGAGGGGAAAATGTAATAATAGAAATATTGCTTAAGGGGTTTTAGGTGTAATTTAAAATATTAATCATTTAGATATATAAATACTTAAACTGTATCACTCACCACAAAATTAGTAGGTTCTATTCTTATAGTACAAAAATACCAACGATAATATGCCTATATTACAATCAAATAGATAAATAATAATAAAACGTGCTAGAAGATAATATAATGTTTTTACTATGATACATTTATATAATTCATTATTTTTAATTATTGTTTGGGAACATTATAAGACAAACACCTACCGAGTGTATATATCACTTAAATAATGTTAAATTTAGGTAATATCTAATTAATTCTGAATAAGCATACGAATGGAAAAATCACTAATAAAAACGCAAAGGGTAGACCTATAGATCATAATTTTTGTCGAAATTCCGACCCTGAGATGCCATTTTCCGGTGGTTTTGTGTTCTGTGACACCTGCAAATCACAAAAGTACTAACCATGGGTGAAAATAATACTTAAAGATATAAATAATGTTCATTCGGTTAATATTCCATTACACCCAAGTGTCCGATTCTTGGATTGTTTAAATCATCTAAGTGTTATGAAAATTATGTTAAACAATATTAATTCAAACATACTCAGTATTTTCATGATCCTTGGGTACCAGACCATCACTCAAAAAATGACAGGCGAAAAATAGCCCAATTTAAGTTTAAATGGGACGATACTCAAGTATTCATGCATTTTTTGAAATGATTTTTTTACCCCGTATTTTCCGATTGTTTTTTGTTTTTTTTCTCTCTTTTCAGATTGTTTGTGTACTGTGGCACCAAAAGCATACTTCGTAGGGTAAAAGGAATGCCACCTAAGACCTAGTTCAAAGCATAATGTTCACAGTTTTTTTGGGGAGGATTTTTTTTTACCACCTAAGACCTAGTTCAAAGCTTAAATAATGTTCACAGTTTTTTGGCGAGGATTTTTTGACCTCGCCAAAATAAAACTGTTGTCCATTTTGTGGCACTTACACAACACCTACCAAGTGTGAAAATACCAATTAAATCCTGGTATTCAGCTTAACATTGTTAATCTAGATAATATCTACTTAATTCGGTAAATCATTCTGGCCTAATTCACAACATATATAATATTTAAAATATCATATTAAACAAAGTTAATTAAAACATGGTCAGTATTTTCTTGGTCTTGTGTACCATAGAGTTAAGAATCAGCAGAATAGAAAAATTTGAAAAGTAGTCAAACTTAAAACATATTGTATATCCCAATGTTTTTTTGTGGAAAGGGACAATCTTTACAATTAGGTAGGCCTATGGTTGAACAAGGTTAATTCAAACATATATATTACTTGACTTGACTATATTTATTTAATGATAAATGATAAGTATTTTCATGATCATTATGATGATTATAATAATAATAATATTATTAAGAGGAAGAATATTAGTAGTAATATAAAATAACAATAAAAATAATAAAATATAATAATGGAAATAATACTGTAAAAATATAATATTAATAATATATTAATAATAATATCAATAATAATAGTGTTCCCATTATCAGTAGTATTTGTATAATTATCTTTTGAATACTGAATTGCTAATATATATATATATATATATATATATATTTTTTTTGTGTGTTGCTATAGTATATGATCATAAACAATGTGTTTTTTTTTTTTTATCTCAATATAGTAAATCATTGATTAATGTGCTTCTATATTACATGATATGTGAAGGACTTCAGGAAAAACCTACTGTATATATTTCCCCATCTTACATATATACACACACCCTCAACATTTCCATCTATTGAGGGGAATTCCCGATATTACTCAATACACGGATGAATTGTGAACCATCGCCCGATGAGTAATAATAGAGGCCATGCATAACTTGGGGGAAAGAATGCCGAAGGAAAGAAAGGAAAAAACCGTGACAGCGAACACGCATTTGACCTATATTTGTGACATACACAAGAGGTTGTTCCTTACAATTATGTTTATTTAGTTAAAATAATCCAAGCGTGACAAAAACCACAAGACAATCAACAAGTCTAGTGTTGTATCACTGATTGTCACCTTTTTAATTGAAGTCTGAAATTACAAATGTTGGCGCCTGCTTCAGAGCCAGAATTGTAGGCCTACGTGCTTTTGAATATTCATAATGGATCATATAATATATTGCTCTTATTTTAATTCCAATAAGTAGTTAAAGGCAGGAGAATATTGTCAGCATGAGCTATTATGTGTGCTCTGATATTTCATAAGCAACAATTTCAGTTACTATATAAAACTTTGTCCACACTATAAAATTTTCTTTGATAAAAACCTGTTATATGCCCATATATAGTCATGATGTGCCTATATATGGTCATGATGTGATGTCATCATAACCATATTTTATGTTTTTGTCAAATAAAATTTGATATTCTGGATCGTTCTTTAAAAAGTGCAAACACAAATTATTGAAATTAGATCAAACATTGACACTATACATGCATAATATGTATCATCAATACATTAAATACATACATTAAATCCAAAATTTACAAAATTATCACATTTTCATTATCACCTTCATTATTGTAATTACCATCTTGACATTCATAATCATCATCATTTTCACTATCAATATTACCATCATGGTCATCTTCATCATTATTTACTGTATATCACCATCATAATTATCAACATCATTATCACTATTATCTTTTTCATTATTATCATCAAATAATTTCCAACAATGTAAAATGTGTCTGGTACTCTGGGATTAAACATTTCCCTGTATAAATTGTCAATGTTATTTTATAATGAGATTAATTACTTTTTAAAACACTTGCTTCTGAGAACCAC